TGCCAAACTGAGCTATCGGGGGAGAAGGGCCTTGGTCAGGGAGGTGACCAAGAAACCGATGGTCACTCTGACAGAGCTCCAGAGTTCCTCTGTGGAGATGGGAAAACCTTACAGAAGGACAACCATCTCTGCAGCACTCCACCAATCAGGCCTTTATGGTGTGGCCAGACGGAAGCCCCTTCTCAGTAAAATGCACATGACAGCCCGCTTGGAGTTTGCCAAAAGGCACCTAAATGACTCACAGACCATGAAAAACAAGATTCTCTGGTCTGATGAAACCAAGATTGAACTCTTTGGCCTGAATGCCAAGCGTCACATCTGGAGGAAACCTGGCACCATCCCTACGGTGAAGCATGGTGGTGGCAGCATCATGCTGTGGGGATGTTTTTCAGCGTCAGAGACTGGGAGACTAGTCAGGATCGAGGGAAAGACCTAACGGAGCAAAGTACAGAGAAACACTTGATGAAATCCTGCTCCAGAGCGCTCAGGACCTCAGACTGGGGCGAAGGTTCACCTTCCAACAGGACCATGACCATAAGCACACAGCCAAGACAACACAGGACTGGCTTCGGGACAAGTCTCTGAATGTCCTTGAGTGGCCCAGCCAGAGCCCGGACTTGAACCCGATCGAACAGCTCCCCATCCAACCTGACAGAGCTTGAGAGGATCTGCAGAAAAGAATGGGAGAAACTCCCCAAATACAGGTGTGCCAAGCTTGTAGCGTCATTCCCAAGAAGACTCAAGGCTGTAATCGCTGTCAAATGTGCTTCAACAAAGTACTGAGTAAAGGGTCTGAATACTTATGTAACTGTTATATTTCAGTTTATGTATATTTTTTTGCAGAAATGTCTAAAAACCAGTTTTTGCTTTGTCATTATGGGGTATTGTGTGTAGAGTGATGCTGGGAAAAAAACAATTAAATCCATTTTAGAATAAGTCTGTAACGTAACAAAATGTGGATAAGGTAGAGAGGTCTGAATACTTTCTGAATGCACTGTATGATCATCGATAATTTGTAGTATTACTTGTGATGCACAGCTGAGTGAGCATAATAATTTGCATTATTTTATTTTTTACTGGACTGATGGTCTGCATCTGATGGTCAGTTTGAGGGGAGGGAGGGAGCAGCAGTGAGGCTGTGCATTCAAGGCTTATTTTTACAGTCTATGACTCAAGGAAACCGTGCAGCTACATTGATCTGAGCTATCTGATTGGCCAGCGGTAGGCCTAGAGGTGCACTTGATTTGCTCTCTGGGCCTGCCGGGTAGGCAGAGTTCTATCTTCAGACACATGAAATAGTATTTCCCGGCACTAGGGCTGCTGAATCAAGTGCACCTACCGCCAGTGCGAAACAAAAAACGAATAATAGGAATGCAAGGCTTTATCGTTGGATTTTTTACAGAAATGTTTGCCGACCGGTTGGTGACCACTGTTCTATCTTATGTAACCATACCAAAAGTAACATATCATACTAATTTGAGTGTGAGCATTTACTATGGTAAGTCTAGTGTATGAGACCAGTCTGCAGAAACATGTCAGTCCCACAACAACACAATGATACAAATACTTTGTCAGTAGGTCAATGCTTTTTTATTTTCCAAAATGCCTCATACAGCTCAGAATAGTAGCCTACTGAAATCAAATGATGAAATCAAAATCAATGAAAAGTACACTTTGAACTTCGGAACTATACAGTTCAAACAGACATTAGCTAATTGTTTGGACGGAAAGTGTTTGTGTAAAATAAACAAAAAAGAAAAACCACGAAAACATCACTATCACTCCAACATATCATTGCTGATGCCACAAATACACAACTTTGTCTAAAATCACATGATAGAGAGATAGTAGTGTTCAGTCTGAGACGAGAATTTCAAATCTTGCAATAATAAGAGATGATACATGAACATTCAGAATTTGATCCATCGCAATCACACATAAAATAGGTAGGCCTGCTCTGGATTTATGAAAATTCATGAAAGAATTAAGCAAAACAGACAAACACATACTGTATCTCACAAATTCAAATTCATCCCCACCATACATGTCCATGACCCCATAATTAAAATACAATCATTCATTCTCTACTCTATTCTACATTATCTATTTGCTTGAAGCCTATTTCTCACCAGCCATGGACAACAGTAAATATCAAAGTCCAAGAACATAATTTCCATCCCTCACTCTCTTCTCTCTAATGTACCTAGTGTCAACACTGTTACATGACTGGAGATCATTTTTCCAGGTGCCCACAGTGTAATCACTGGGAAAAATACCTTGCAAGAGAAAGAATGTCCTGTTAGATAAATTAGAAGCTTGATGCTCTCCCCATTCCCTATATAGTGCACTACTTTTGACCAGAGCCCCTTATCTGCCCTGGTCAAATGTAGTGCACTATATAGGGAATAGGGTGCCATTTGGGACACAACACTTGTTCTCTGCCACATGTTCATTTAGTTAAAAAAAGGCAGCCAGCTAAAATAATGAATGAATCTCTCTAATTGGAGAGCTTACGTAATAACCTGTCCGCCCAACGTGCTGTGTTATAGATTTATCCATTCCCCAAGTTTTAAGCCTGCATCAGTAGTATTTCTTCTCACTATGCAGTAAGGGTTGAAATCTTGGCCTTAATATGTTTATGTAAAGTCTTCTAAAGGACTTACCTAAATATTTATGATTTATATGGACGTTTGAGATGTGATTAATATCCCAAATCAGTATTCAGCCCTGTGTTCATAGCTCCTTGCTCTGGTTGTAAAACTGTTTACTTGGCTTTAATTGACTCCCTACACATTTCCCAGCATCATATTGACACATTTCCTTTGACAAGACATGCGAGTGCACGAACACCACAAAAAACAGGATGCTAAGTAAATACATCAACAGTGGAACTTTAACATCGTAAAACCATAAAACCATGAAACGTGACCCTTTCATATCTAACGCCACCAACCACTATCATAGCACCTGTGTTATGCTGTGTGTTTCTCACAGCTTTAGTGCCCTATCAACTAATGCTATCGTACTAGGTTTTAGCTTGTCAACAGACATTATTGTACCGCTCTGCAATTTCACACTGACCTTGTGTTGTGGTCATTGGTGAGAGTGGGTGATCTGTATGATGCACAGCAAACATAGCAGTTATACTTCCCACAGTATTCCAGGTCTTTGACACAAATATATACTGAACAAAAATATAAATGGAACATGCAACAATTTCAAAGATTTTACTGAGTTACAGTTCATATTTGGAAATCAGTCAATTGAAATAAATTCATTACGCCCTAATCTATGGATTCCACATGACTGGGAATGCAAATATACATCTGTTGGTCACAGATACAGTACCTTAAAAAAAAGGTTGGGGCGTGGATCAGAAAACCAGTCAGTATCTGGTGTGACCACCATTTGCCTCATGCAGCGCGACACATCTACTTTGCATAAAGTTGATCAGGCTGTTGATTGTGGCCTGTGGAATGTTGTCCCACTCCTCTTCAATGGCTGTGCGAAGTTGTAGGATATTGGCGGGAACTGGAACACGCTGCCGTACACATCGATCCAGAGCATCCCAAACTTGCTCAATGGGTGACATGTCTGGTGAGTATGTAGGCCGTGGAATAACTAACATCTTCAGCTTCCAGGAATTGTGTACAGATCCTTGCGACATGGGGCCGTGCATTATCATGCTGAAACATGAGGTGATGGCGGCTGATGAATGGCACAACAATGGGCCTCAGGATCTCGTCACGGTATCTCTGTGCATTCAAATTGCCATCAATAAAATGCAATTGTGTTCGTTGTCCGTATTTTATGCCTGCCCATAACATAACCCCACCGCCACTATGAGGCACCGTTCATAGCGTTGACATCAGCAAACCACTCGCACACACGATGCCATACACGTGGTCTGCGGTTGTGAGGCCGGTTGGACGTACTGCCAAATTCTCTATAACGATGTTAGAGGCAGCTTATGGTAAAGAAATTAACATTTAATTCTCTGTCAACAGCTCTGGTGGACATTCCTGCAGTCAGCATGCCAATTGCACACTACCTCAAAACTAGAGACATCTGTGGCATTGTGTTGTGTGACAAAACTGCACATTTTCGAGTGGCCTTTTATTGTCCGGTGCACAAGGTGCACCTGTGTAATGATCATGCTGTTTAATCAGCTTCTTGATATGCCAAGGCTGTCAAGTGGATGGATTATCTTGGCAAAGGAGAAATGCTACCTAAATTTGAGAGAAATAAGCTTTTTGTGCATATGGAAAATGTCTAGGATATTTTATTCCAGCTCATGAAACTTGGGACCAACACGTTACATGATGCATTTATATTTCTGTTCAGTGTACATGCCCATTCATTACTCAAATCCTTTCATTTTTATACATGACTATTAAACATTCTGCCTTACAACATACTTTATGCCCATTGCATCCTCTAAAGAAATACTATTGATTTCACTTACTTTGAATGCCACTATCGCCTCACAGTGTTGGATGAAATGAAAGCCTCTGAAGCAAAAAGAACGGTGGAATTGCACCGTCAATCACTCATTGATTTCTGTCCAATGAAAGCTTAATGAAGTGAAACTCAATAGTGGCCCATTCGCTAAAATAGAGCCATCAATGACAGTGTCCCCAATACCAAAAAGTTTACTGGCTTAATCTGTCTCGCATTTATGCGTACTTGAATACAATGCAACAGTCTGGTCTCTCTCAACTAAATTCTGGTGTGGGAATGTCATCATCTGTATATTCCTAGCAGTTTTCTCAGTGAAACCGAATAAACAGATCTAAAACAGACCTCCCTCTTGAAATCTCTCTCCTGTACACATCACAAACTCAATAACTACCCCCTCACTCTTCTCAATCAATGTGTTATCCCATTGTCCCAAGTTTTATTTAATGGTGATATATATGGACACAATTACCAGCTTCATCTGAATATCCTGGAGTTACTTGTTGGTCTTGTTATGAAGTAACCATCATGTTTGTCTGCCTCTAGCGTCTCCAGCTCCAGTTAGTGTGGTACACAGATCTGTAGCTCGGCTGCTGCTGGCCTCCCAGAGGCCTTCCGTACCCATGACTAGCCCCAGAGGGCCCGATGTTGGTCTCCGTCAGGGACCTCTGTGGCTGCCACTGTCTGGGCAGGGACCTGTAGCCAGTCGGACCGGCGGGGGCTGAAGCTATGCTCTTGGTCGGGGACAGGAACAGAGGCACAACTCTGCTGTAACTCTGACTCTGACCCTGGTTCTGACCCTGACTCTGGCTCTGACCCCGGCTCTGATCCTGGTTCTGACCCTGGCTCTGACCCCAGCTCTGACTCCGGCTCTGCCTCTGGTTCCATCTCTGGTTTGGGTTCCATCCCTCAGTCTTCCTGGGAGGATCGTAGGACACCCTAGCCTTCCACTCGGCAGGGGGCTCAGGGAGGAGCTTGCGCTGGGCAGCCGAGCGCACGTTGAAGGCGATGGCATGCTGGGGGTTCTGGAAAGCGAAGGCCTCGTCAACCAGGCCCATGGGGTGGTGGGCTGCGGCCTCCCAGGGGGAAGGAGGCTTGTGACTCCTGTCCAGCCATGACATCTGCCTCTCCGGGGGTGCCTGAGAAGATGAGGCCTGGGCCGGGGGTTTGTATGAGGGGAAGGGGGACCCAGACGATGACCAGAGGCCCAGCGATGGTGCTCTTACAGCGGGTGGGGACAGAGTGTAGCTCCTGCCAAACTCCTGGAAAAGGGACATTCAGACATGTTTACTTCAGACAGGGGCAGATTTAGACATTCTTGTCTGACTACTAACAAATCGCAGAGTGTAACTTGGAAAATGGCTTAGACAAAGTTTGAGAGCTTCCTTTGAGCATTTAAGACCCACATATAGTCCAGTATGCTCTTAAATCTCTTGCAGCACAGTAATGTGTAACTATAAAACTTAATGTTAGGTCATGTTTTAAGTAATATTTTTGATATGGTATATTATTATTAAATAGAGAATCTAACTAAAGCAATTAGATCATTTGTTTTGAACACCCATCTCAAATTAGTTATGTTATAAATCATCAGTTTGTGTTCTCTTGAGTGAATAGAAATAACCCGGCATTAGTCCTAAATCATGTGAGGATTATTTTGGTAATCAGAATCTTTATATGTTAGACGTTAACATTCACGCTGCGATGTTCTAAAGGAAGAAAACTACCACAATCATATGATACAACTTGATAGAGGACACTTACTCAAGTAGGCTACTTCACCATTTTGTATTGTCACAATTCCAACACTTAGCCGGTCTTTTGATTTCTCAGAACAATTGGCTTTTAAGTGTGTGTTTCCAATGTAAGTCACGTTTAGCTTGTTTAAATTGGATCTGACTGGCATTGTGGATTACAGGCTTCACTTTTAAGGTATCTCAATGAGTCTGCAAATCTCCTCAAGGGCTGTTATCTTGTCCTTCTCACTGTATCAAAGACCAGGGTCATTTTAAGTCCCAATTAGAATGCCTGCACAGGCGGAGGAAATGTGTCGAGTGGGCAATGCTGGCAGCATCTCTTGTATAATCAAAACAGTCTTCCTGTAACTTAAATAGCTCAGAAGGGAGTGTGCTGCCATCTGGTGAATAAGTATAAGAACAGCCAATAAGATCAGCTACTATAGAAACTTGTCACTCATAGGACAGCAAGAGAGTGATGTCAATTGCAGCAAAATAAAATGGAATTGTATGAGTCATTTTAGGGGGAAATTCAATGAATAACTTGTTTAGTGAGTCAAGATATCTGGTAAGCTGTAAGAGGAAAACAAGATCCAGCTGTCTTTGCAATCCAGCTGTCATTATTTGGACTGGGACACATATGAATGGGCTTAAATAGATTAGAAGACAATGTAAGGACTTGTTTTATTCAAGAATTATGTTAAAGAGGATTTGTACATTTGAATTGATATTGCCTTTATTACATTTAGTCTATTTGTTTGTTGGGATATACAGTAGGGTTGTTGCACCTCCAAAAAGCACAAGAAAGAAGATTGACACCCACCGTCTCAGATTGTTCTAATATCGTTTCTGTTGTTAGAAAAAGATAATATTAGCATTCCTGCAACACTATTTTGTTGAAATATATTTAGATCTTTGAGAAATTAAGTTAATTGATTGCACCCAAATGGGCCATTTTAATGTATATGATTCATATAATATTCAATAAATATAGTACCTAACATTCGATTTGGACCAAACTTTTTTCTAACAATGAGTTAGACATGAGGAATCCAAGGAAATGGTCAAAAGCCACCCACGGACCTTCCACACTCCACGCCAATCCAACCCCAACAACAAGTATATAGTAACAGTTCTCCATGTTTGACAAGTGGAATGGAGCTGTGGCTCGGAGTGTTGTTTTTTCATCCTATGTAATGTATTCTCAATTAATTTTGGGATGGTTTCCCCCCCTGTTCAGAGAGGTTAGTCATTGAAGTTGTTGGGTTTATGTCTCATCCTGATATCACTGGGTATTGACCACTAGATGGTGCCGTTCCTGCTATTTGGTGATACTTTTTTAAAGAACCCCCCTCCCCCCTATTGTTAAAGGGATAGTTCACAGAAATGACATATTGGTTTTCTTGTAAGCAGTCAATGGACCAGGTATAACAGCAACCCATGCTTTGGTTTTGTTTACCTGGCCACTGTTTAAAATGCTAACCTTTTAGCATTTGTGTCACAAATCCAATGCAAATCAATGGTACCTATATTTTCACACTTCATGTCCAAATCATCCTAAAGTATCAACACATGTATTGTGTAACTCACTGATGTTACTTAAAGATGATTTGGAAATGAAGTGCGAAAATGCTAATATACAGTACCAGTCAAAAGTTTGGACACACCTACTCATTCCAGGGTTTTTCTTTATTTGTACTATTTTCTACATTGTAGAATAATAATGAAGACATCAAAACTATGAAATAACACATATGGAATCATGTAGTAACCCAAAAATTGTTAAACAAATCAAAATATATTTTATATTTGCGATTCTTCAAAGTAGCCACCCTTTGCCTTGATGACAGCTTGGCATTCTCTCAACCAGCTTCATGAGGTAGTCACCTGGAATACATTTCAATTTACAGGTGTGCCTTGTTAAAAGTTAATTTAAGGAATTTCTTTCCTTCTTAATGCGTTTGAGCCAATCAGTTGTGTTGTGACAAGGTATACAGAAGATAGCCCTATTTGGTAAAAGACCAAGTCCATATTATGGCAAGAACAGCTAAAATAAATAAAGAGAAACAACAGTCCATCATTACTTTAAGACATGAAGGTCAGTCAATCCGGAAGATTGAAAGAACTTTTAACGTTTCGTCAAGTGCAGTCACAAAAACCATCAAGCGCTATGATGAAACTGGCTCTCATGAGGACCGCCACAGGAAAATAAGACCTAGAGTTACCTCTGTTGCAGAGGATAAATTCATTAAAGTTTACTGCACCTCAGATTACAGCCTAAATAAATGCTTCACAGAGTTCAAGTAACAGACACATCTCAACATCAACTGTTCAGAGGAGACTGCGTGAATCAGGCCTTCATGGTCGAATTGCTGCAAAGAAACCACTACTAAAGGACACCAATAAGAATAAGAGACTTGTTTGGACAAAGAAACACGAGCAATGGACATTAGACCGGTGGAAATCTGTCCTTTGGTCTGATGAGTCCAAATTTGAGATTTTTGGTTCCCACCACCGCGTCTTTGTGAGACGCAGATTAGGTGAATGGATTATCTCTGCATGTGTGGTTCCCAACGTGAAGCATGGAGGAGGAGGTGTGATGGTGTGGGGTGCTTTGCTGGTGACACTGTCTGTGATTTATTTCGAATTCAAGGCACACTTAACCAGCATGGCTACCACAGCATTCTACAGCGATACATCATCCCATCTGGTTTGCACTTAGTGGGACTATCATTTGTTTTTCACAGGACAATGACCCAAAACACATCTCCAGGCTGTGTAAGGGCTATTTGACCAAGAGGGAGAGTGATGGAGTGCTGCATTAGATGACCTGTCCCCCACAATCACCCGACCTCAACCCAATTGAGATGGTTTGTGATGAGTTGGACCGCAGAGTGAAGGAAAAGCAGCCAACAAGTGCTAAGCATATGTGGGAACCACTTCAAGACTGTTGGAAAAGCATTCCTCATGAAGCTGGCTGAGAGAATGCCAAGAGTGTGCAAAGCTGTCATCAAGGCAAAGGGGGGCTACTTTGAAGAATCTAAAATCTAAAATATATTTAGATTTGTTTAACACTTTTTTTGGTTACTACATGATTCATATGTGTTATTTCATAGTTTTGATGTCTTCACTATTATTCTACAATGTAGAAAATAGTAAAAAATAAAGAAAAACCCTTGAATGAGTAGATGTGTCCAAACTTTTGACTGGTACTGTAGGTACCATTGACTTGAGTTGGATTTGTGCCACACATGCTAAAAGGTTAGCATTTTAAACAGTGGCCAGGTAAACAAAACTAAAGCTTGGGTTGCTGTCATACTTTTTCTATGGACTGGTTAACGGGTAACCAATATGTGTTTTGTGATTTGAGTGAACTAACCCTTTAACAATAGGGGGGGACATAATGATAATCCCCTAATAGCAGGAACAGCACCATCTACTGGTCAGAACCTGGTAAAATCAGGACGTAGGATGGGACATAAACCCAACAACTTCAATGACTAATTTCTCTGAACAGGGAAAAAAAACATAACCAAATTTACTGAGAATACATTACATAGAAACAATATTCAGAGCCGCAGCTCCATACTACTTGTCAAACGTAGAGAACTGATACTATATACTTGTTGTTGGGGTTGGATTGGTGTGGGGATCTGTGGATGGCTTTTGACCACTTCTTTGGATTCCTCATGTCTTACTCAATAGCTAGGTTTCCATCCAATTGGCAACAGTTTTTAATGTGAATATTCTAAAATCCGCATAAAGAAAATATGAGCATTTTCCCACTGGTGGTGTATTTCCACACAAACGGACTTGTTGTGGATAAAAATCAGTGCTTGATGACGTAGTGCACACAATGTACTTTTTTGCTTAAGTTTTCATGTACCGAATAAAAACCAAAAGTTCAATGTGTTTCCAAAGCATTTTCAACTCTACCAATAGTTTTGTCAGAAAAACTGTTGCGTTAAATAGCAAATGTGCCTACTCTGGACTTGGCACATGCGCTCTAGATAACAGCTCACAGATACAGTGTGGGTAGGCTAGTCTACAGGATGAGATTCTTATGGATTCTTATTTGTCAAACAGCAGTCAATCATCGATCATCATGTCACCAGAATCAGACCCTCGATATTTATTGGAAAGGAGCATCAAGATCACTGTGCACTTCACCACCCTGTAAAGCTAATCATAATTTACTCCATCTGTAGCCTAATAAACTGCATGGTTTCGTAGTGGGAGGACCACACACAATTTCATCACATGACTCCAAGTTTACTTCGATATGATGGTTATTATCCTGAACAAAAATATGAACGCAACATGCAACAATTTCAAAGATTTTACTGAGTTACAGTTCATATGAGGAAAGCAGTCAATTTAAATAAATTCATTAGGCCCGAATCTATGGATTTCACATGACTGGTACCTTAAATAAATGAGCCTTACAATTGGCCTCCGAACCTTGTCACAGTGTTTTTGTGCATTGAAATTGCCATAGATAAAATGCAATTGTGTTCATTGTCCGTAGTTTATGCCTGCCA